CCTAAAAAAACAAAGTTAGAATGCACTTAAACAATTCAATTTATATAGTAAAACAAAAAGAAGACAAAGAAAATGAGTTGGGTTGAGTAATCATCAAATATTCAATTTATGCACCCAATGAAGTTTTTCTAACCTTTCACAATGAAGGGAAAAGGATTGAACCAAGGGTTGTTTTATCCCATCAATCTTTATCTTCTCTGCATGTACATGGTTTTGAGTATATAAATCAATATACTATACTAACATGACAGAAGTGATGCTGAAGTTTCACAAATTAATCAAGATAAAGGAGATGAGAAAAGGAACAGTTAGAGCAGAAGACAAGACAAACATATTTTAAATGACCAAACACGGAAATTTTGAAGGATTATAATCCATGTTGAGCAATCAAACTCTAAAAAATGATGTTTCTATTCTAATCATGGATGAGCCAACTGATCATGCTAGGTAAAAGGGATCAATGAATTAAAATGAAGAGCAGTTTCAATAGAAACAGATTTACTGCTTGGTCTGACAGCGGAGGATGCTGGAACTGTATTACTTAACACTTGCAATCTTGGATGTACATGGTACCAAAGCCAAAAATGATTCCTAGTAGTTAGTCACAACTTCAGATACAAAAAACAATTTATTTTTTTTCAATCTACTCTCGGTGAAAATCAGCTTATAAAGTAATAGAAACCTTAGTGTGAAAACTTTTCTTCAACCTAATAACATAAACATTAGAACTTTCTTCAAATGTTCGAAATGCAAAGTGGCAAGATTCATAATACTTTTTAACCATTAAAGGATACTTAACTCAGACATAATTTTAGAAAAGATTCAACTTCCAAATATCACAATCTTGGCCAAAAAATTGAAATCCCGTATCAAAAACCCTCATATCATTTCACTTGATTTTCAGAACTTTAATTTTCACCCTCATATCAAAAACCTTCAATCATTTTACTTGTCTAAAATCTTAGAATAAACCCACCCACCCACCCAAAAAAAATCACAAAACTCACCGACATTTCACTTGCACAAATTTATAGAAACCCCATAGGCATACAGAAGATGATTCCAACATATAGAAAATGAATCATTGAACCAGTAATAAGAAAAATACACACAAAAAAATATGATAAATACTTTCCTACAGTAAAAAAGAAATACAAATAAAAAAGTTGAGACCAAAAACAGGGAAATACTCACACAAGGTTGGAAGAATAAGAGATCAGCAGAGACAGTTGATGATTCGATACATTAGAAAATTCCCGTCGTTTCTTGGCCGCTCCAGTTTTCAATTTCGATTTTCAAATGTGAAGTAATATATACGTTAGAAGCAGACAAGGGTTTGAATTTAGTGAATGAATTTTCAAAGAAATTTTTTCAAACTTGAAATAGATGGAATAATAATTGAAGATAAATGATCCCAAGCATGATTTACTAAATTACACATTTCTACGAGTTGATTTTGAGGTTCAATTGATCAATCAATCAACTAAGCCCCCAAACCCTAAGCCATAGGAAAAAGTAGCTGAATACGATCGAGCAGTGGGATTCAAGAAGCATACCAATGTCTGTCGCTCATCATTTGCCTGACAACCAGCTCCTTCTTGTTTTGTCCTCGCCACCATGATCTTCACCATTGTCTGCAGCATACACACCCAGAAAAAAACTTGATTTCTTTTAAAATCCAAATTGAAAATGGAATTCAAACTTATGCAGAACAAGAGCCGTTGTATCTATGAGAAAAGAGAAGAGAAGAGCGGTCGAGGAGCCTTGAAAAGAGAAGAGCCGTTATGGGTGGAACTGCTAGTATTTATAGTGTGCTTTCTCAAATTGGAATTTAAATAAATTTACATTGAAATGGATTTTAATAGCAAGAGCCGTTATTATTTTTTTGAAAATACAATCTAACTAATTAATACTAATTTAATAAGATATTTGATTGAAACAAAAAAAAATATGATAGTTTATTTTAAAAAAGGACAATATTATTTTAAAATTACTTTAGAAACATTGTGAATTTATACAATTATTTTAAAGTGTTTCAATTAAAAACACTTGATGATTAATCTACATTTTGGAAAGTAGTAATAATACTAATCAATAAATTTAAATAATTTTTCTAAACATTTTTTTCCAGTTACGAAATATTTTTAAAAAAATTAACGAAACTTTTTTTTTAAAATACTGAGCAGTAAGGCGCACGACTTAGAAGTAACAACACGAGCAGTGCATTTCGTTATTGACTTTTCGTTGTTACAAGCAAGCTTATTTGTACACTCCTCTTTCATCTCGTTAGTTTCAAATTATCATTTTATGATAGAACCTCTAATGATGTTGTGTGTCATAACATGTTTCCTTTGAGTTCTGCGTTTCTTTTAGCTATGATTATTCATTTTCTCTTGCACTTCATCCGTCAAGTTATTTTGATTGAAGTCATCATCATAGCACTTGAAGTTAGCGCTCAATCGACGTTCAAGGCCACTTTAATCCTCTGATATGACAAAGATCCTAAATCCATACAATATCACAGTACCCATTATCATCACTGGACGCAGCAAACACCTTCGTGGGTTACATAAAAACAATCATACAAGAACATCATTTAAATATATCATTGTCCTGTTGCCAATGACTACAAATAGTTCTACAAAACTCACAAGGGGAAATATACAGTAAGAACTCAGCTACAAAAAGCAGGACCTCTAATTCGTCCCTCGAGGGAATCTACAAAAACTAATATAGACTAACAACACAAGGTCCAGAAAGCCAACCAACTGGAGATTCATATTTTGTACAACAAAAAATTATATATTCTTCATGGATGAAGCAGCACCGGAATATCTTTAAAAGCCGTGAGGTATATCTAATGGCATGAAAACAAAAATGCTTTAAAAGGTCATCCATCTGCTTTAATGGTGTTTCACAATGTGTCAGAGCAACGTAGGCAATTGTAATTAATGAGCCGGTGTGCAAGGCTGCCAGCCTCTGGAACCATAGCTGAAGTTAAGCCATTCCAAAAGTGAAATGTGACAGCTTCTTTGACGATAGTTTTAAACAGCATATCTTGTTCAGCTTTCTCAGTTTCCATTGCTGGTGCCAAGAAGTATCTGTCAAAACAAAGAGTTGTAATGAAGCCCAAAATATAGAAGGCCGCTTTTTGAGAGTTCAAAGATGTCAAATAAGATTGGATGGGAATTAGCTGACGTCTTAAAAAGATATTTTACTCTCACATCTAGTCACAGGGGGTGTGTTTAAAATATTTACAAGAACAACAACAATATATAAGTTGTGTAATGAGCTCAAAAAATCTATATGTGGCTCTGAAGTCTGTTGCATCAGCCATGTTACACCAAAAAAGCAATGAAGAAATGCATCCGTACATAACACTAATTGCATATTCTTTTTTGCTTTCAAAAAAATCGTGTTTCTCGTAAGGGTTTCCAAATTTTTACCTTTATCTTTTCCAACATCTTTTCTACTAGAAGGAGATCTCTTGTTGATTCAAGCATTATCAAGTTACCGATAATCAGTTTTCATTGAAACTCAAGGTTAGTTTCCCAATCGGGCTTTACAGTTCGGAGAATACAAGTCCTTGAATAGATGAATTTATTATTTTTGATGAAGTAAGATGTTGCAGAAACTCCAATTTAGTCAGGGGGTTAACCACAAGCAAATGTATGGTCTCCAAGCCATATTGTGGGAGCTAATGAAATCCAGGGATAAATTGCTGGGCTCTCAGAGGGATAATTCTATTTAGTGGGGGATAGATAGAATTTCACTCCTTAATTCCATTTTTTTTAAGGTTCTGCTAAAATCAGGAAGCTCTAACTAGACTGAGTTTTCAAAGTTTTGAACAAGTGACCTGTTCTGGGACAAATTTGCAATATTTAAGTTCTGTTAACCATACAACTATAGTTTTAAAATAGGGATAAGATTCTTAAGCCATATTCTGAACTAAAAGCCATGTGTGCTATAATCAATAACTACAATAACATACCTCCTATAATCCCACAAATGAGGTTCGAGGAGGGTGGTGTGTAAAGCAAACTTTACCCCTACCTTGGTAGGTTGAGAGATTGTTTACGGAAGATTCTCAGCTCAAGTAAAGCATTTCAAGAAGGTTGAAAAGAGGATACAATAGTAAAGAAGCCATGCTGAAAATAATGAAGAAAAGAATAATCTCAACAACACAAATACGATAACTGAAGCAAAGAACACAACATGCAATAATAAAATTGAAGAATAATAAGAGAGTAATACTAAATTACTAATAATACTGTCTAGGAAAAATAGACAATACTCGACTACCTACTAGCATTCTACATTAATCTTGGACCTTTTTATCTAGGGACATGTCCTCAATAAGCTGCAAATGTGTCATGCTTTATCTAATCACATCTCGTTAATACTTTTTCGGCCTACCGCTACCTCTCCTCAAACCACAATTGTCAACCTGTCACACCTCCATCTCAACACTTCTGCTACTTTCATCTCCTACACGTGTGAGTTCTTAACCCGCCTACACACTTCCCCATACAACGGTATGAACAATAATCAAACGTTCAAAGTAATAAATAATAAATCTTTCACTAAAAAATTTAAGCACTCACAATTCTAAGTACCACCTTTTAATACTTTTGACCTCAAGATTAAAAAAGATGTTAAGTTTGCTACCTGGTAATATTGTTATGACCGATGGGGAAGAAAACAAACGAGGGTTGAAATTTGATCTCCCTCTTTCTACCGGAAAGATTTCCATTGACGGAAAAGTTACTAGCAATTCTTGTCAAAAGATCAGCTCCATTCCATCTCAATTGTGTGTAATCATAAGACTCCTTCAAACACTCCATTACAAAAGGACTGCAGAAGACATACAATAAAGTGAATCTTGGTCATAGGGCAGATAGAAGAGAATAATAATTTACATTTATAAGCTTTTGCTAGGAATACTTGTGTTCCTATCCTTCTCCCGCAATAAACTGTAGCAAATATTTCTGACAGATTAACAGGTGCAATAAGAGGTTATTGTTCAAAACTTGCATCCTCCGATAGCGTTTTCAGGCTGCTAAGGACAACCCAAACATATTTTTGAAAACACAGTGGTATCTTGCTCAGCTTGCGTGCACCTCGATCAATCTTTACTTTATGAATGTGTAATTTTATCCACATAAAGCAGCCCTTCCCTAATTCCCTCTATTTTCCTTATCCATGTCTCTTCCTCAGTGGGCCTCAAAATATTAGGCATGGGACATACTAAAATGCCACAGAAAGGGTGGTTATTGCAAGGTCCAAGCACACCAGAACCAGAACAGAGCACTTCAGAAGTATTCAAGAGGCAAAGATTGTTTTGAAAGTACCTGTGCTTTCTAAAAGCCATTACAGCACCATTCAAAGTTTTTCCACGTCGGTCATCCTCAAAAGCAACAGTATTACTAAGTGAAGACAATGAATTCAACACTATGATGTGCAACAACTATAAACTTCACCAAAAGAAATTAAGTTTTTATATTACTAAAGTTGGAACAATCCTGCAGAAAATAGAATGGACAAAAGTTCATTACAGACATTAGATTTCAGCTTTCATATGCTCCTTAAATCAATTTTTTTTATAAGGTAAATAAATTCTTTAATGTGAATCAGGGAATGATTGAGATGTAACACATTTCATGATCCTAGTTTCATAAGGTTCTTTGCCAGGAGATGTTGGTGCAGCCTCACCACAACCCACTTTCTCTAAGGATAACTCATGTAATTCATCTATAAAAAAAAACTCACTAGAAGCAGCAAATTTCTGGAATTATGTGATTTTAAAAAGAAGCTGTCCATGTGCCACAGACACAAGAATGAGTTATTCACTAACATATACTAACAGCAAAATCTTTTGTATGACTCAGAAAAACTTAGATCCTTCTTCAGTAGTCCTCTCACCGTCATTTTATATGAAGTGTTTCTAACAATCATCAATTCCATTTCTTAACTTCATGAACAACCAGTCTTGTGGTTTACTAGACCAAGTTTAAGAATATCAGCTATGGGAAACAACATCCGAAAGAAAAATATTACAATCACATTGAAATAAACTTCAGCAAATTGAATTCTTAAAAAAAAAGCTCAGCAAATTGAAGTTAATCTATTGCATTAGAGAAGGTAATTGTTTCTGCCGTCAACTGATAAATCTCGAAAAAATTATTGGAATCATTTTTCTATTATACAAATAATACCTTTTGAAATAAATAGTCGAGATCTTAAGTGCGAGCTCCTTATCTAATTTGCCTTACCTCAAGTCAAATGTTATATAAAGGAAACACCAGATTTTTTTAACTCTGTTATGCAAAACTACGTGGAAGGTAATACGTTTAAAATTAAAACTACAATGCATCATCATAGAGATAACACCTCGATTAGCTTCACAGTACATAACAATTTAAATACATTGGGAAGTGTATATTTTCCAAATTGCTAACTTGTATAGAGCTGCCAGCCTGACTAGTTCACTGTAATGGAAAGGATAGTGTCTTGTCTGCTTCCACTCATACCAGAAAGAAGCAAATACATGTGTTGGTGTGCCTAGTAGGAGCTCATCAAGATTGGGCATCACAACAGCCACTTTGAAGCTGCGGAAAATAATCTATCATCAAATCCATCTCTAGTAAAGTGCAAATGGAAGAATAAAACACCATAGACATGCATTTTTGCGTATATACACAAAGAGAACTTGAGATTATCTTCTTTTACAAAAAAAACTGTTGTTTTAAGTAAGAACTTAAGACTTATTGGAAGCACTTTGAGTATGATGTTCACGAGGCAAATATGGATA